TTAATGAGATAGTTTAATGTATTTGAATACCTTTTCCTGAACTTTTCCTTTTACCTTTAATATTTATTTAATTTTTTCTTTTAGTTTGTATATATTCAACTTTTCCTAATTGAATTTATTACGTATACGCCGCATTGTACGAAAGTGTTTAGCTCTTGAATATACCCATTATTTTATGAGTTTGTTTATTTAAATACGTTCTCTTTATGCTTTTCTATCACTTTTAAAATATATTTAATTTTTTCTTCTAATTTGTATCTATTCCCCTCTTTCTTTTTTACATTAATTACGTATACGCCACGTTGTAAAAGTGTAACTCATGGAAAAATCCATTAATAAAGGAGTTCATCTATTTAAATACCCTCTCTTTATCTTCTCCTGCAACCCTTAATATTTATTTAATTCTTTCTTTCAACTTGTATCCATTTTCCTTTTCACTTTGTTGCATTTATCACGCATACGACCTGTTGTACAAGTATTGTTAACTCAAAGATATGCCTATTAATGAGGGAGTTCACTTTTTAAATACCTTTTCCTTTCCCTTATCTTTTCCTTTAACCAATAATATTTAATACATTTTTTTGGCCTCTAACTTGTACCCATATTCCTTTGACTTCATTGTATTTATTACTCATACGCCATGTTGTACAAGTCTGATTAACTCATAGATAAATCCATTAATAAGGAAGTTTATTTATTGAAATACCTTCTCTTTATCATCTCCGGCAACCCCTAATATTTATTTAATTTTTTCTTTCAACTTGTACCCATTTCCTTTCCCCTTTGGTTGCATTTATCACTCATCCGCCGCGTTGTCCAAGGCCTAAAAGCATTAACCACAATCAATATGTTTAGCTACACCTGAAGGGAATTGTAGGGGGAGGGGGCAGAAGAGCAAGGAGGCCGTGTGTGTGTTAAGCTTGAGGCTAACTAAATGTCGGCATCCTGAGCTGACAGTTCTTGTCATTTAATTTGTCATTTCCCCAAGCGAGGAGAGAGGCGAAATTAAGCGACGTCTGTTGGCTGTTGGCTGTAGCCAAGAATGAATGGATGGATGGATGGATGGATGGATGGCGGACTACCATCCATGGCCCACTTCCCCCTCATCTTTCATTTGAGCTCTCACCTCATCTTTGGCTTTAGCTTCAGCTTCGACTCAAGCTTCACCTTCAGCGTTCAGTCAGCTTGAAAGCACTTCAAAGGCCATCATCTTGACATTTTGATTTATTGGCTTCGCTGCTGCTGTTGTTTTGCTGACTTGGTCTGCGGCTTTGGCTACGCCCCAGTCTCAGTTCCCCCTCTCCCAACCTCTGGCTTGTTGCTCCTTATTCTTGGCCAGCTTTTGTTGCCTGTTGTGGCTGGGCGCGCTGTTCCACTGCGGCTTGTTGCTGATGTTTGGCAGTAAGCCGCTTACAAGTATTGGCCCGTTCGTTTACTCACTGTGCCAAACCGCCAAAACAGCTTGGCTCACAGCCCAGAGAGAGAGAGAGAGAGACTGAGGTATAGGTCGGGGTCTCCTTACACAATGAAAATCTTTTAAGGATAAGAGTAATAATATTACCTTGGATCTACTAGATAGTTTAGAGATTGTTTTTGAAAGTTTCTTAAACAATTTACTTAAATATGCAAGTTTGTATTCATAAATCAAGAATTTAATGAGCGAAAAAGTACTATTTTTATTAAAACTGTAGTAAAAAGTGAATAATGGAATATTTATAACATCCTTTATTTGGAATTTATGATTTATTTAATGTTACCCTAAGCTCTGTCTTTTTTTTGCACTGTGCACTGTTAAAATCCTTCTGGCTGTAATTAAAAACAAACTAAAATACGGTCTTAATCATCTCAAAAGTGAAGAGAAAACACTTGAAAAACTATATACAAATATATAAATTAAATAAATAATAACTAAAGTAACTAAGGAAGTTGGAATTTAAATATCTTTAAAATAAAATTTGGATCAAGAAATTGGTATCCTAAATGGTTCATAACTTAGCCAAAAATGCCTTAATTTCAATTCGGAAAGCTGTCCTATGTTAGTTTTTATTAGGTTAATAAATCTGCATACTCAATTTAAAATTTAAAAAAATTTTAAAATTTTTCAAATTTGTAGACACTTTTCACGATGAAACCCCTTATAAAATTGAGATAAAATTTCAAAAATTTAATTTTCTACCAGACATTGCTAGATCGATTCGCCTGTTAATGCTGATCAAGAATATATATGATTTATGGGGTCGGAAATGAATTCTTCACTGACTAAAATTATATTTTCCTCTGCAAGATTCTTGAAATCATCATTTTTTTTTTTATACTTTTTTAAAAATATTTTTTGGGACAACGTAAGGTTAAAAATTGCAAAACTATGTCAAAAATGCCTTAATTTTAATTCGAAAAGCGTTCCTGTGCTAGTTGTTTGGCGCTTAACAAATCTGCATACTATGTTTAATTTGTTCCTGTGTTAGTTTTTTTTAAGATTAAAAGTTTTTACTTGATATATTTTTCTTTAATAGATTTTTATATCATATTTTTTGGGACAGTCAATGTTTAAAAATCGCATAACTTTGTCAAAAATGCATTAATTTCAATTCAGAAATCGCTCCCTTCTTAGTTTTTTGGCGCTTAACAAATCTGCATACCTTATTTACAACCTAAAAAAAATTCAATTTTTTGTCAAAATTTTGATAATTTTAACGATGTAACCCCTTATATAATTTTGAAAAAATTAAAAACATTTTTTTTTTTTTGGTCAAATATGGCTAGATCAATTCTCCTGTTGATGCTGATCAATAATAAATATGATTTATGGGGTCGGAAATTATTCCTTCTCTTGTTTCAAGCTTCTGATTGAAATGAAAATACCCTGAAAGGGTATAAAAATATATACAAGTATATAGAATAACCCTTGATTTTTCTCAGTGAAACTGAAAGCTGCCAAAACAACCGACATTGGCCTTTGACAGTCACACAAACACTCCCACACTTTTTGGCATAGCTGCTGGTCCCAGCTCCAGGAGCAGGAGCCAGGAACCTGAAACCAGAGTTCAACTTCATCTGCGGCTCCTTGTCCTTGTCCCAGACCCAAGTCCGAGTCCGGAACAGAGTCCTTCTGCCGGATGCGACATCCCGTTAACGAGCTCGTTACAGCTCATTGGCCTTTGGTTCTTGGGAACCACTCGAATATGCATTTTGGCCAATGCAAATTGAATTTGAGCTCAGTCGCCGCCTCCGAAACAGGAATGCAAATGAAGCGCAAGCAGAGTGCTCGCCAAATAGGGGCGGAATAATGCCAAGTGGTGGGCGTGACCGACAATAGTCCGAGTGCCACATAATAACATATAATTATTTGAGCAAACGCTATCAATTTTAAATTGTTCTGCGGTTGCAGCGACCGAATCGAGTCCGCTAATTGAGCTAATTAGTAGGTAAGCTGGAAAACACTGACAATGAAAGGAGAGTGAAAATAAATCACAGACATATATCGGACAACTTAAAACGCAGATTCGGAAGTGCATCTAGATAAGGGACATAACATATATATATAAATATAAAAAATATATATATCAATATAAACATAAAGTGTAGAGATTTAAGGGAGAAAGACAGACTTTCAAGAACTGTAATAATATATTATATATTATAATATATTTACTCGATATATTAATATATATCGATCTTTTACATATATAAAATAATGCATTTTATACCTTTTTACTGCTAAAAATCAAGGTTGGGATTGTTTATTTACCTAAAATAACAACAAACCCTTTTACAACAACAATATTTCTTCAACAATATTTTTTTCAACAACATTTTTACAACAACAACTATATAAGAACATTTTTAACCAAATATTTCACGAAAAAGTAATACATAAAATATTTCTTAATAGATTATTTAGATGAATTAACGCTATCCAAACTTAAAATGTATTGCAGCTTTTATATATTTATTTCCCATTTTGATTGTTTCAACAACTAGTTAAAGTATGAAGATAAAAATAAATATCCCTCTTTTTGTTTATTTTTGTATGATTTAAGAATGAAAGGTTTAATTTATTTAAATAAATAAAGGTTTTATGAAAAAACTGAGACTATAAATCGAAAATTAATAGAAAGATGCATTGTTACTGGCTTAAATTGTAGTATTCCATAAAGAATAGTTTCCTTTTTTCAATATTTACTTAATTTCTCAGTGCATTATCTCTCTGCAGTAAAGCCAAGATATAGCTATAGTGAAAAACCTGAGAGGAAACTACTTGATAACGAATATGAAAACTTTTGCGGCCAAGTTTGCCCCATTAAACTTTTGTACTTGTTGAGGAAATCGCCAAGTGTTCCCTTCTTCTTCTCCACGGAGCAAAAATCAAGCCAAGACACTTTTTATCCTCCTGAGCTTTAAAGGAATTAAAAAAAGGAGGAAAAAACAACAAAAAAAACTAAAAGTAAATAATAAAAACGGAAAGAAAAACTCAAATTTTCCGAGAGAGCGCAGGCGTAGGAATTAAAGAGCGACCAGCGGCCAAAACTCTCTCGCAGCTAAACAAAAAAATTAATGATTTCCCCCCTATACATTTCCTATATATAAAATTATATATATTTATATAGTCACGATATATATTTTTTCGGACTTTTAATTTCCCCCCATGCATTTCCCTACATTTATTTCGAATGGTTTCTTAATTTAGCAGAAATCAAACGAATTTAAAGATTTTTCCGATTTATTTACGATGTGCGTAAATCTATATAGCTAAAGGTAGGAAGTTGGAAGGGAGAGTGACAGAGAGTGTATAAGAGAGAGAGATAGAGAGCGGCGGAAGAGAGAGAGAGAGTGTGAAATGGATGCGTGGGAAAGTTGCCGGTGAAAGCATGGAGAACGAACCGTTGCGGCGGAAAACTCACTCAGTCGAGCATTAGACGCCAACGCGTTCGGTCACTCTCTCTCTCTCTCTTACTCCCACTCTTACTCTTTCTCTCTCTCTCTCCATCTCCGTCTTCGTCTCTGTCTCTTTCTCCGCCTTCGTCTCCATTTGTGTCTCCAGAGGGAAAAGTGTGAAAAGTTGTCACTGCTCTTATGTATACAAGTGGGTAAAAAAGCGGTTTAAATAATGCAATTGCATTTAGCTTAATTTTTAATTTAATTTTAATTTTATTAAAAAACTAACATTTAAGTTCGTTGTTAATATTCCCGTTTTTTATTTAAATTTAACCGCTTGACATTGTTGCGATCTATAAATATGGCCTTTGAATCGATTTTGATTTCATTTCCGAAACTGCAGTCGGTGGCCATAAATCAAAACAGAAATTGGAAATCGTAATTAAAGGCCTTTGATTTCTATTTTTAAAAATAATAAATAAGCAAAATAAGCACATTTTAAATGTATAATTAATTAAGATTTATAATAATGTTATTATTAGGAATTTAATTGAATTTAAAGGGGCTTATTAGCATAACTTCTTTTGCTTAGCTAAAAAGAAATTTATAATTATTTTTTAAAGCAAAAAAAGAACCATTTGATGGTTTATAACTATTTATATATACATTTTATATATTATAAATAATATATATGGGCTTTTTTGTATATCTTTTCCCCCTCCCTGCAGCTCATCACCACCGCTTCCGGTAAAATGTTTCTGGCCATTAACCAGAGTCTCCACAATGGCGGCAAAAAGAAGCGAAAGCGAAGGTCCATTGGTGGCCAGCAGCAACAGGATGATCCACAGGATGATCCAGCAGAGGGATCACCACCTCCTCCTGCTCCGCCCCTGGAGTCGAGTGCCTCCAGTGATCAGTTGGTTAATGGAGATTCCACTTCCGGATCCTCCATCTGTCAGGTGTGCAAATGCAGGCAGTCATCGCTGATGCTAATCTACATCTACCTGGGTGCCCTCACCCTAATCGTGGCCAGCCTGGCCATTGTGTGCTATACCCAAGCCCAGGATCAGAGCTCCTCATCGCCAGTGGGTGGTCCCTCCTCCGTCAGAGCGTTTCGAGCTCAGTTTCAGGCGGAGCTAATGCGTTCGGAGGATGTTTTAAGGACAGTGGTCAGTCGGATATTGGAAAGTGGTCACGAATTGGAGGAAAGGTAGGAATTAACAGGGTCTCTGGAGTCCCAGTATATATTCTCAGTCATATTCCATAGCTCTACGACAACAAGCAGCTCTATTCCACGCTTGAATCCCCTCAAGAATGAGCGCAAGTTTACGGATAACTTGATCAGTCATATGCCGCAACCCACCGGAAAACGGATGCGCCGGGATATTGCCTCCTCGTCGCCCTCCTCCATGCATGGCAAGTTGGGAATGGAAAGGAAGTCCTTCTGATAATCCTTCTAACCTTATTTATTCCTGCAGCGGATCCAGTGATTGAGTTCTTTAATCCCAATCATCGCAAGGTGCTCGAGGAGCAGGATACTGAGATTCGCAAGCGAACGGGTCAAAAGGGAGCTGCTCCAGGTGGCGATGAATGGATCTATCTGAATACCTATTGTCGTGTTCCGGAGAAAATCATCACGGGTTTCTGCAAGGGCACCCAGGATTACTGCCCACCGGCTCCGCAAGGTCCCACCGGGGACATAGGTCCCAAGGGACCTCCAGGTAATCCCGGTCTGCCCGGCATCCCGGGTCCCAAAGGCAATCGAGGTGATGTCGGTCTACCCGGTGCACCTGGCGTAGATGGTGTGGGTCATGCGGGTCTTACGGGACCACGTGGACCCAAAGGTGATCCAGGAGCAACCGGAAGAGCAGGCTTAGATGGACGAGATGGTGTGCCGGGAGAGCCGGGCTTGGATGGAGTCCCGGGAAGAGCGGGTGCCGATGGTAAGAATGGTCTATCGGGTCGAGATGGTAAGGATGGACTCCATGGCAAGGATGGCAAAGATGGTATGTCCATAACGGGACCCAAGGGTGCCCAGGGACCACCAGGTGAGAGGGGTCTTAAAGGCATTGCCGGACCACGCGGTCGTCCTGGCAAGCCGGGAACAAATGGAACTCCCGGTGTGCCTGGCATTAATGCCTGGAAAATGCAATTCCCCAATGGAAGCTCATCCAATGATCTCCTCATACCACCATCCATAACAGGTTAGTATTTGGTGTGGTTAGGTTAAGTTTAAAGTTAATTAATTTAATTTACAGATCTGCATTCACCGGAATTCAATCGCATTGTGATTGTGGAAGAGGGACGCTCTTTGAACCTGAGCTGTTCGGCAACGGGGAATCCCACGCCTCAAGTGGAATGGCGACGGGAAGATGGTCGAACAATAAATGTGAATGGCGTGGAGAGTGAGTATCCTTAGGGGAGTGATATTTCTCATCTAAGTACCTTCTTTATTCCCTCCCTTCTAGTGGCCTCCATTAATGGCCAGTTCTTAAAGTTCACCAACATTACTCGTCACCAAATGGCCGCCTATACTTGTTATGCCAACAATGGCATTGCTCCGGTGGCCAATGCCACCTTTATTGTGGAGGTTCACTGTAAGTATCCCTACTTCTTTCTCTATTCTAATCTATATAGTTAAATATCTCGTTTATATATAGTTGCTCCCATGATATCGGTGTATCGGCAGATGATTTATGCCGAGTACCAAAGCAGTGCCACCTTGGAATGCCTGGTGGAAGCCTTTCCCGAGGCAATTCGTTATTGGGAGCGAGCTTATGATGGCAAAATACTTGATCCCAGTGAGAAATATGGCATTGAATCGTATCCAGAGGGGTTAGTTTTAATATTAAATATATCGATTTTATATAACTAGGAAGTTTTCCTCATTTTCAGGAACTTCAAGACCTCTATGCGCTTGACCATTAGCAATCTTCGTAAAGATGACTTTGGTTACTATCATTGTGTGGCCAGAAATGAGCTTAATGCCACAATGGTTAACTTTGAAGTAGCACGTAAGTTTATATATCTTATATTATAGATATATAATATAAACCTCTCTTAACCCAACTTTTAGCTCAAGATCCCAATAGCGAAACCCCCTATGTGGGCAATAGCATCAAGGTTTATGGCCAAAGACCGCCGGAGAGTGAGTGCCCCGTTTGTGACCAGTGTCCAGATCCAAGGTATAACTATATTCTATATATCTATATCCTATATATCTATATCCTATATATCTTTATAACTCTTTCCTATATCTACTTCCAATTAAATTATCCTTATCGTTAGTCTCTACCAATGCAAGGATTCTATTCTAAACAACTTTGAAATACAAGCCACAGGCAACCTTAGTTATCCAGGTCTACCCAAGCGTCCCAAGAGTAAGTATATTTACTTAAGTTTTAAGACCTTTGAGTTTATATTCCAACATTTTATAGCCTGCTATTTGTATGCGGTGGGAAAACCAGTTTTCCACAAGGTGGTCAATGAGAAATTTGGTTCCTGGTTGAGAGATCCAGCGCCGGAAAGTGATCGTGAGAAGACTTTTGTGACAAATGAGAATGATCCTTACAATCTATTTGAGTTTACCACTCGTATTCAATATCGAATGAATAGTGTACCTCGAAGGAAGTACGAAATAACTGAGGGTTTTCATGTAAGCTGGAAGTTATATTTACTTGTTCCGAGTTTAGTGCTTTACTTTCTTTATCTTTTAGGGCAATGCACATGTGGTATTTAATGGCTCGTTCTATTACCATCAAAGGGGATCAGATTTGGTGGTCAAGCTGGACTTGACCAGTCTTAAGAAGATAAGTAAGAGGAACTAGTCAGTATAACATAGGATCCCTATAAGTCACTATATAATATTTCTAGCCACACAATTGCCATATGCTGGAGTGACTGCTGCTAATAGACTTTACACCACGGACTATAACTACATGGACTTTAATGTGGATGAGGTGGGATTGTGGGTAATTTATAGCACTTATAACTCCAACAATACTCTGGTGGCCAAGGTAAGTTAAGGATAATAAATCCCTAGTTACCATAGATACTTATTGTGTACCTTCCAGTTGGATGCAGATACTCTAAAGATGCAATACAACTTCAACATCACCCTGGATCATCGTCAATTTGGTGAAATGTTTATTGTTTGTGGTAATCTATATGCCATTGATTCGGGAACGGATAAAAATACCCAAATCCGATACGTCGTTGACTTGTACAAGGGCAAGTTGCTCAATACGAATCTGCCCTTCTCAAATCCCTTTAGTCATACCACAACCGTGGGTTACAATCCCCTGACAGTGGTAAGATCTCTTGAAGAATACTATACTAAACACTTGATTTCTGATTCCCATCTCTCTTTCTTTAGGAACTCTACTCTTGGGACAAGGGAAATGCACTTACATATCCCATACGCTACAATGAGCAGCGTCTTATCTCCGATAATAGTTAGGAGTATCCAATAAATTGATCTAAAAGATCTGGCAAATGAAGAGAGTCTAAGCTCAAATCTATATCTAGTCTAAGGCACAATAAATAAATGGTTTTTTTTTATCATAATATATTAAGAATCGTGTTTCGTTCTCTTAATTTCTCTTGGTAAATATTGTTAGTTGGATCATGGGTTTGTTGGGTGTCAATTGTGCTCTTCACAAGTCTGGAAAATCGCTAATTGAAGGGCACAACAAGAGGGAAAGTGTGGGCAAAAAAACACTTTTGGTTCAAGTGTGAACTGCTAATTTGTCAAAGGCGAGAACAAAGTAAATAATAATAGAAAAACAAAAGGATTTGTGGATAGAGTAAATAGTGGAAATAGCAAATATTTAATCTCTTTAAGGGAGAGAGATACTCTATTGCAGTTTCACTCAAAAATAAGAAAAGAAGCTAATTTCAATAACTATTTCTATATGAAAATAGATCATAACTAAGCCAAAAATCCATTAATTTCCAATCGGAAAACAGTTCTATGCTAATTTCTGGTAGGTTAACAAATCTGTATAATAAATTCGAAATTGAAAATTTTCTTGAAATTTTGAAAATTTAAACGATGCAACCCTTTATAAAATTTTGAAAACATTTCGACAAATTTATTTTTCTTTCCTAAATACCTTGAAAAATTCGCCTGTTGATGCTGATCAAGAATATATATAATTTATGGGACCGGAAATGATTCATTCACTGCCTTGCATGCTTTTAATTAAATTTATAATACCTCAGTTATTTCTCCGTCTCCCTTTCTCTATTTCTCTGTCTCTCTCTGTCTCTCTATTTTTCTGCTTCTCCCTCTCCCGCTCTCACTCTTAATGCATCTCTACAGGCAGCCCTTACTCTCTAACTCTCTCCCTCTGCCTTTCTCCAGAGATAGCCCTTACTCTCTCGCTCACACATTCTCTGCTCTCTTCCCTCGGGACTATAAATACAGGGCGCTACCGGCCCTCGGGCCTCATTCGGTGCGCGGAGTGGCTGCTGGCAACATCTATGGTGATAGTGGAAGTGATAGTGATAATATCACCTGCATCTGGATAAACAGGAAGAAGCTCTACACCGGATGCAAGTAAACAATGACGTGTCATAAAATTCTTCACCGAATGGAAGTAAACAATGACGTGGCCTTAACTCTTCACCGGATGGAAGTAAACAATGACGTGTCATCAATTCCGGTAAGTCTTAACCATGACTTGTTTATAGATGCTTAAAGAGTGATCAAGCTTTGGTTTAAAATCAGTTGTGCTAGCTATGCATTCATTAATTAAGTAATTAACATTGCCCTACTTAATTATACCCATTCAACGGTTTTACAATTTTAGTCAGAAGCTTAAAACGCTGTGAAGGAATCATTTCCGATCCTATAAATCATATATATTCTTGATCAGCATGAACAACCGAGTCGATCTAGATATTTGAGACAGAAAAATAAAATTGACAATTTTTTACAAAAATTTATAAGGGATCGTTATCGTTAAAATTGACAAAAACTTAATAAAAATTTCAATTGTTAGAAACTTTTAAATTAAGTATGCAGATTTAGTAACCTAATAAAAACTAATATAGGAAAGCTTTCCAAATCAAAATTAAGGGTTTTTGGCTTAGCTATGAGTTTTTTAAGCCTTGTTTTTTCGAAAAAATCGCCATATAATAATATCGATAATTAAAGACTCAACAAATGAGAATATTTTAAGCTAAGCTATGATCGATTTCCAATTTGATCTTATAATTCAACTATATATAAACTTCGGCTTTCCTTTCTTGTTTCAATCTAACATCGGTTAGCAACATAAAACTCTCCTTCGAATAATGATAAGAAATGTTATATTACATTACATTTGTATTTCAATTAAATATCTATACAACAAAAAAAAAAAGGATGCAATCTTTTAGCTCTATTCAATAGTCTTGATTCTTACTCAAACTTCCCTGAAAATTCCCTGTAAATGTCATTAAAAACCAATTGCCTTCACTCGGACCCTTGACTGGGCCCAATTCCCAGCTTCTGCCCCTCTCTCTCTCCATTGTCAATTAGCTGCGATAATGTTGACATTATCCGGACCTGGTTCCATTAATTATGCCTGCTTAAAAACGAGACCGAGGCCCAAAAGCTGCTGCCTGTCCAACTGCAGCAACAAGTCCAACCACTGACGGAGCAGTAAAGATGCCCCCAGATGCGTGGAGGAAAAGCATCGAGTTAATCAGCCCTTCGGAAAATGTGAAAAGGGAGGAATGTGGAAAAAAGGTGGGGAAAAGCAGAGGGAAAAGCAGGGGAAGGCTATGCATGTAGGCCATGTCAGGCGGAGGCGAAGCCCCGCATTTTGACGGACTGGCAGAGTGACGGCTTGTCAATAAGGGAAACCAGCCAAGCTCCACACGTAAAGCGTTTCGATGTTTGGCAGGACTCCGACATCAGCCACCAGCCACAAACTGCATTGGGGCACACAGCGAAAAACAAATGAGGTTTTACACTTGAAGAAAAGAATGTAACAAAAACCAAAAAGGAAAAGAATAATGTAAGAAAAACAATACAGAAAAAACTAAGTAGAAAAATCTTAATAGGAAATAAAACTTGCTAAGAACAGTACATGAAAATATTAATCAGAATCTTAAATAAATCACAGAAAAATTCTTTAGATAAGGTTAGAAAAGGTTTACATTTTAGGGGTTTCCTTCACACCCCTAAAATTTGCTTAACACCCCTTCAAATTTCAACATTTTCTAACTTAATCTAAAGTAACCCCCTAAAATTTAAACATTTTCTTACCTAATTTAAAGAATTTTCTGTGACAACCCCTATTTTACATCTTAGCTCTTCTGGTTCCTAATTTTCCTTGGTGTATTTCAGCTTAGAAGAATTCCCTTGGTGTCCCCTTGGTGTATCTCGTCAATTGCGTTGCATGTTTGACAATTCTGCATTTTTCGTTGCTTGAAGCTGCTGCTTTTCCATTTTCCCTTTTGATTTGGAATTTTTAGGGGTTTTAAAGGACTCAGGGATGAGGTATGTGTGCTTCAATCCTTTTACAGATTGCAGCAAATTCTGCAGCAGCGTCAGTGAGCTTCTAAATAAGGAGATTTCCTTAGAGAATAAGGATAAATTCCAAAATAAGCTACATTTCTACAATTTTAAACAATCCAAATGTGTTAATACCTGCTTAACCCACAATATCAACTCTAATTGAGGAGGAAATCAAAAACCACTTTATCCACAACTTGAATCCTTGCCAAAAAGTGAGAGAGGAAAAGAAAAAGGGGATTCCCAGTGACTGGACCATCTGTTGGCACTGACCATCAATCAATTAACACCGACCTTTGGCCTTTCTCCACGAGTGTTTTGATTTATGCAGTTTTAAATATACATATATATGTATATTATTTCAACTGTTTTTCCTATTTTTCTGTTATTTTTGGCCCAATGCCAGCGGAATCGTTTTGACTGGGCTAATCCCCAGTTTTATTTCCAGCGCCAACTTTTCTCGCAGGCTCTCTATCATTTTTCATTTTTTTATTATCATTTTTGTAACTGTGTTGAGGCAGGCCCAGCTGGTGCTGTTTTGTAAGGATAATGCGCTCTTGTCAAATTGCCAAGAGGCGGGAAAGGAGGGAGGCAGGGCGGAGGAACAGCTGTTGGACGCTAAGCCAAGTCCTCCTGCTCCTGCTCCTGCTCCTGCTCCTCCACCTCACCATCGTTTGCTACTCTTCTCTGACGCCTTATTCCGCCGGAATCCGGAATCCGCTGGAGTCTGTGGACAAACAATTTTCATGCTCGAGCGGTGCCATGTCCGCTACACTCCACTTCAATCCAGTGGCATTGCACTGGCAGAAAAATAGTGGGTATTTAGCTAAGAATTTATGGGGATTTAGCTGAATACAAAACCTATAACTATAGTGAAGATATTTTGAAATTAAATCTTTTTGTTATAAAAAATAAATTCAATTAATGACTCAAATCAATTATTATTTTGAATATCCTTTCAGTTTAGTCCTTCGAGCCGGAAGGTCCTTTTTCCCTTAAAAATTTTAAAGTAAGGTTTGAAGAATCTTAATTATTCTATAAATTTGTTTTTACTTACATTATTTAAATTGATTATTGAATTGCATTAAAAATAAAGTTTTCTTAACATTGAATCATAAATAAATGTAGCTGTAATATTATCTATAAATAAAATGTACAAGTAATAAATCCCCCTTAAACCCAACATTTACTTAACTTTAAATCACAAATAAATGAAGTTTCTTTTCCTAATTTTCTAGAAAACAATTCCCCTTCTCCCAGTGTACTTCCTTAAGCCGCTTCCTCCCCCCAAACCCCACCCGCTCCGTTACACTTAAGCCCCTCCTCCCTTTTCACTTGTGTTTAGCAACAGTTTGCTTCATTAAATTGCAAGCGAGCATCAGGAATCCAGTGTCTCCTGGGGGGAATGGAATGAGTGCCTGGATGTCGATGGGAAAACTAAGACTTTGGGGGAGGGAAAGGGGATTAAACGGAGGAGGTCACTGTTTACGTTTTAATCAAAATGCAAAATGTAATTTGGAATTTTAACATGAACAACGTGAGCGGGTCACTGAGCCATAAAGACCCATACAATTTCATGGCTTAGCAAAGCTCTCCTTATCAGGGCAAAACGATGGACAGTGCTGGCCAACAAGTGGTTAAAACCATCGGAATAAAAAGCTAAAGAAATTAATTAATAATAAAGGTAATATGCTAAGAAAATTAATAAAGAAATAGTCTCACAAATGTCTCGTTTTTATTACCTCCTTTTTTTTACTGTATTCTATGAATATGTTGGGGAAAAACTATATTAAAACTGAGTTCATATTTTCCAATTTTTAAATAAGGATAATTTAAAATTTGATAAGAATAAACCAAGTCTAAAAAAGTACACCTTCTTCTTAAAGTCAACTTTCCAACACTAAATCTAGCCTGCCAGTGTTGGAAAGTTGTCTTTTTCCCCAACCCAGGACATGAGAAACTTGTCAGAGCCAGAGGGAGTGAGAAATAGGCGTGCAACAGAGATAGTAATAGCAATTACAAGGGACCCAACGTT